ATTTCCCAGAAAACTGAAAAAATTTCTTGAATTCTTCGGAAAATTCCAGTTTTCCAGATAACCGTAGCTCTTCAAAGATTTTTCTCGAATTATTTGGGAAACCGAAGAATTTTCATGAATTTTGTAGAGTTTAGAATTTATGTATGAAAATCTGAGAAGCAAGAATTGATTATTTGTGCTTATGATAAATATGAAAAAATTAAAATTTGGGACGTGAAGACTAATTTGTGCGTTAAAAAAATTTAGAAATACTATGTTTATTTTCTCATGATCAACAATTAGGCAATTTAGATATGTTTTGATATAAAGATAAACTTCACACATGAAAAAATGAGAAATATGACGCAAAAAAAATTTTTGCTATTTGAAGAATTTGAAAATACCGGAGATTTTTTTCAGCGACTATTTCACGTGACTCATTGACCAATCAAAATTGCGGGTTAGCGGTCAGGCAGTTTCGAGATATTCCGGTATAATATAAAACAACTTCACGTTTCTTTCATCTTTAGTAAATAGGAACAGAGTACAGTAGAGGCTTCGTATAAGATACTATTGGAATATGGGTGTAAGCGAATGAATAAATACGGCAAACCAGTGAAATACTTTATCAAATTCTCTTTATTTTACACGAAGAAGGCACGTCTGTACTAGAGGACAGTTGTCCAGAGACTAGTATAACCAAGGGAAAACTCTCACTGGGAAAACGAAAAATAAAATCATAAAGTTTTATGCCTCAAGAGGACACAGTCCTTCTTCAAATTTCGGCACATGTTTAGGATTAAACCGCTCTCGACTGCGGAGGACGACCGATCGTAAATTAGTCCTTTTCTAGAACTGTTTTCCCAGTATGTCATAAATCGTTGTCGAGTAGTTTTTGTACAACAATGAGAGAGCTGTGCTCGAATATTCCAACAGATACCCCGCTATAAGATACCTCGCGCTCCGATCGCTCGAAACCTACCCCCACTCTCGGCACTTTTATCGCCTCCAGAATGTTTATGTTCCGTGGGCTGCTTATAAGACACCTATGGCCCCGGTCATTTTTCAACAAGAAGAGAGTAGTTATGAGCATGAAGTGATCATGAGGGTCTAATGACCTTAAGGAGGGATCACACCACTTTTTTAAAGTAACGGAAATATACATCGATTTTTTTTCACTTTTCCCATCGAAAAATCGTAATTTTTCGTCTGTGATTATTCTCGCGTCCACCAACAATCCCTCAACATCAGCTGCCATTCTACCACGCGGGGTTACGTTTAGAGACAAAAGGGAACCCGGGCGATACAAATTCAAAACATTAAACACATATAAATTGATTAGTTATCGATATTCATTCAGTAAAAATGAAAATTTCATTGAATTCGAGCGCAACGAGCGAGGTATCTTATTTGAAACCCACTGATCCCTATTTTTTATGAGATCCCTAGGAAGGAACCAATAATGGAGCTCAACCAATGAGATTAAGGAGAACTCAGTGATCTCATTGGTCGTCCGCCAAGAGTAGTTAGTGTAGAGGCCACTTGATGGCTCCCACATCTACGGTGCGATCGTAAATAATTGCAACTCGTAACAACTTTCTCACTTGTATCTTCACTTCCATTAGGCGCTTTTGTCTCCTGATCTGGAAGATTATTCTTCACAAAATCCAGTGCAATTACCTCATCCGTGATCGTCAAGATTGCCGTCGATACATTTTTATAAGACTTGCGCGTAGATACGAGACCTTTTGGGCTTTTGTGACCGACACTGCTAATTCTGTTATCAAATCATCAAACACTTCGAAATGATAATTCAGTTTCGTATCACTTTTCATTCTTAATTTACATGACCGATTGCGTTTCTTCCGCCCATAAATTTTATCTCAATTACTCAGGATAGTTTTAGCTGTAGCTCCAGGTGTATCGTACTTGCGGCAGGCATCAGAAATATTCTGCAATGACACATTTTGCAATTCTTTGGACTCTGTTTCTTCTAGTCACTGGATCAGGGGAGGTTCGTCAACAACATTTAGCACATTTAGTTCGTAAAATGAATTCTCGATTCTATGTTGCCATTGAATGGCGTTATGTTTCACCTATCCTTAGACTTATCCATTGTCACTCATTTTGAGGACTTCAAACTTGAACTTTTCACATTTCTTCACTTTTGAATTCAGTAGCGAAGTGGTAAAGTGGCACAAGTCAGTTTTGACTATTGACCAGTTTTCAATGAATATCTCGGAATCTAAGGGAGATAGCTAAATTTTTGTTATAACCTTGTTAGAAACGCGACTAAAATTCCAGAACATTCAACTCGAGCACCATCGGGAACCTTCGGTTGAGCGGTCAGACGACCGTGAAAACCCCCAAATTTAGTCTTACATCGTACCTCACCGAGGACAGTAGCTTTTTGAACCTCAACTAGCTCACTAGTAGCCAAGTACATTACCAGTCCTTATAAGATCAACGTTTCGTTCAGTACATCACCTCAGTTTTGTCAGTTTAAAGTCAACTAAATTCAATGATTCAACAGTATTAAATTAAGAGACAATTATCAGTAAAATAAGACTATCAACAGTGACAATCAATTACCAAAGAGTGTATAGAGAATTAACGACGTGGTTCGATCCCACAATAAATAGTGATATTTTTATAATCAGTGCCGTCATTAATTTTCCAGTATCTCCCTCCACATTTTTCTCCCACATCCACCCTACACCTAGTTCCTCATCAAACAAACCTTTTTTGTAGATCCGGTTGAGAGCTACAACAAATGTGATTGCGAAAATTTCTCTTAGATTCCGAAGTATTCCTCAAAATCACAACTGGAAGATAAGTCAACTTAAACCGTTTTACCACTTCGCTACTGAATTCAATTAATTAATTTTCTAAATACAATTAATGCACACTGTGACCTGGGCCCGTAACCTATTGGCAATGGGAAGTCAAATAAATGTTAACTTTATCTTTTTATTAATGACGCATAAGGAAGAACCGTCTGTTCACTCCGGATTTCTCCAGGAGACTAAAATGCTGGTGACAAAATCAAATGAATATCGTCACCTAAGCCCAAAGAGCACTCACAGCCCCCACTAGCTCTCACTTCTTTCTCCGGATGAAATAATTGTTTATGTTTATGTTACCTCTCCGGCTCTCTCTATATCGATTCGTTTTTGGTTTCGTAATCTTCATGAAACAATTCTTAGTATTAAGATTGAAACAATTCAATAGAAATGGAAATAATTAAGATATTGCCTTGAATTCAACTAAATTGAAACGTATCATTCCAACATGTGGAATTCAAGAAAAACAAAATCCGCCAATTCCAGTCCAGCTTTCATAAATGTTGTATTTTTCTTGAATTACACATACTTGAATTATGTATGTCGAATTTCGCATAATAAATTAAACCTTGATGAGCTTGAATGGTACGATGTGGAATTCAGATTGGATAATTTGTAATTGGAAAAGTACATTGTAATTTAGTAGAATTCAATGTTAATGCAAAAAATTGATGGATTCCATAGTATGTAATAGGTCATTTCAGGTGATGAGTGGTAACGGACCTCCTTGCAAGCGTTGAATTTCGAAATCGTTCTCCTGTCCATAATTATCTATTATTTTAAACAAAACTCCAGTCACTGCATTACTAGATGGTTGTAGTGCCTGAAGTTCTTCGTTTTACAAAAATCGCTAATTATCGGAGAAAATACATTTCAAAAACTTTACACAGACGAAAGAGGTCAGTTAACTCTTCAAATTTACCCATTGAACTGCAGAATTGTGACAAGCAGCCTCATTAATACGCCAAAATTTAAATTTAATAGTGCAATTAATCATCAAGGGAAATTAAAACAAGCAGCGCGACAGAAGCCATTTGACAGATTACATATGACTGCTCCTCTCCACGCATTTTTTTTCTCCTACTTTCATTTCTACCAATTTCATTGGTAGTAGGCTTCCGAATGGATCCCAATGTATCTTTTCAAAAAATGAAGGCATAAGGATTACCATTTCTTGAAAATATTAAGGCCAATCCCACTCATACTTTATGACAAAAAAAATGATTTTTTTTTCTCAAGAATTTTGGGTGAATTGCTCCCTCTCAAAAACTATCAAATATATCGACCTAAAATTTGATATAGGAATGTTCCTTGACAATTCTAACTATAAGCACAATTTTCAAAAGGTTTCCCTGACTTTTACCCATGTCACAGTGCGCAAAAGGGAATTCCGACAAAAAAAATACAAAAACGACGATATCTCGAACAATTTTAATGGGATGGTACCCATATTTTATTGGATCTAGATAGATGACATCAAAACGCACATTTTGAAAAAAAAATGGAAATCGGACCAATAGTTTTTGAGATATTGAGCAAAATAGTTTCACACACAAGTGGAATATCTCCGAAACTACTGGTCCGATTTCGTTCATCCAGAATCCCAGACTTTGTTACCACAAGACCCAAAATCATACCAAGTTTCAAGTTTCTATCTCGATTATTTTTTAAGTTATCGTTCGAACAAGCAATTTCAGCGAAAAAATGAAAAAATGAGAATAAAACTACCTTGCTGAGGGTGTAATGGTCGTTTTCCAATCTAATTGAATCGGTATCATCGTGACGAGTATTTTGAAAAAAAAATCGAATCGGTCGAGTGATTCAGGAGATATCGGCAAAAAACGATTTTCGAAGAATCGCTCTATCTCAGGAAGCGCTCAACCTATCGAGCCGAAATTTACCACAAATTTGAGTCTCCGTAGTACCAATTAGCAGCTAGAATTTCAGCATCTTTTCCTCAATAATACCCGAGTTATGAGGACAGTTCTGGACATACAAACACACATGTGCGCACACCTACCTACACACATACAGACATTTTTTAAAAACCTCATTTCATCACGTTTCATGACATTTCTAGGCATTTCCACCCAAAATTGAAAAATCGAAATAAAATTGTGATTACAAAGCTTCCGTTCGGAAGCGAAACCATTAATTTAATGCTTTTCGTCTTTTCAGGTGAAGATATCGTATTTTTGGCGACCGACATTAATCTACCAGGTGCTGTTGACTGGGTGATGATGCAATCATGCTTCGGCCACAACTTCATGCTCGTTCTCGAGAAACAGGAGAAATACGATGGGCACCAGCAGTTTTTCGCAATAGCCCAGTTAATTGGCTCGAGAAAACAGGCTGAAAATTTTTCATACCGACTAGAGTTAAATGGTAATCGTCGTAGACTCACCTGGGAGGCAATGCCACGTTCAATACACGAGGGTGTTTGTTGTGCGATATTAGCATCAGATTGCCTTGTTTTCGATACGTCAATTGCCCGACGTTTTGCCGACAATGGTAATCTCGCGATAAATGTCACAATATCCATGGTTTAACTAAAAATTTAAAATTTAAATCCGAGATAACGATTAATCCTAATTCATTAATTTTTCGCTAGCTGGATAAATGACAGATTTACGTATTTCAGAGGAATATCATTTGATGAATAATTTTCTTTTTATTCAGTTAATTTCTAATTAAATCACTGCGTAAAGCGCTAATGAAAGTTTAGACTGAAAACAAAATTAAAAAATTATGTACATTGTGGTAATCATAGCTAATTAGCTTTGTAGAATATTACTATTTGATCTAAGCATTCTGATGAAATAATGATGCGTAATTAAGTAATGCTGTGAATACTATTATTATACAATTCGGTGCATTATCATTGTATCAATTTTTTTTTTCAACGAAACAAACGAAAAATGATTGAACAGACAATTACCTTTCTCGCGTTATTTCTCTTGTGTAATTTGACTATTGGAATTCAATGATTTCCTGCACATTCAGTGGAACAATACGTCTCATGTATGATTTATAAATTAATTAGTGTTAACAATTATTAATGACTGCCTCGAGGTGATATCCATTGTTCTCAAATTTAATTTTCTATATCTAGTTCCAAATTCCAATTGATAATAAACAATTTCTAGACCTTATAAAACATTTTAAAATAAAATGATAAAGCAAAACGCTTCGAATACATGTTATCGACCATTTTTTTCTTTATCAAAACTCAATTCGTAGGAGTTTTATGATTAATAGTCAAAAAGGTGATATTTGGTTGGCAACTAAGATTATGGAAATTCTTTTGCACACGAACTTATGAATGTTTTTCATTAATCAGTTCTTATTTGTAAATATAATTCATTAAAAACATCGTAATGGTAAAGTTTTTTCATTCATGACTCCCATTTTTTTAATAATCGTGGAAAGTGGTGGAACGTCATAATTCAAATTTTATTATTTTCTTTTTAGATCTTTGTAGGGAATTGATTTTTTTCAACAGAAAATGTCTTTTTGTTCAGACCCAAATTCACTCGTTACGAAAATAACTATTTGTAAATATGATTGATAAAAACATTCTCATATAAATGAATTTTTTCTTCATTGATGACTCCCATTTATTCGAAATTCGCCCAATGCAGTAGGAAAATGTGAATGTGCATGTCACTTTTGTGTATTTATTTTGGAAACATGTGTTTCTAGGGGAGAATGTCAACCAATTTCAGTAGCGAAGCGGTAAAACGTTTTAAGGCCCGGGTGTACTATCTTTCGAACGTTATCTCGATGTTTTTTTTCATCTTTCGTCATCTGAAATTGTCAATTAAGTCCTGCATCATGCAGAACTTTTGAAAAATTATGAATGAATAATCAAAAAAAAGTAGAAAAAATTCTTAATTTTTTCAAAGAGCATTTTTAATTTATATTCAGAATAAGTTGAATAACAAGAAATTGAAAAATGTATGATTTACGGCGACAAATAGCGGCCTGTCACCCAATATCATGCAGGGGGAAGACTGATTTCGTAAATCTTTTCCCACACTGCACAGAGACATTTATTACGGAAAAGGCTCTTTGAAAAAAGTTGTAATATTTTGGAGAATTTTTTAATCACACTTTTATCACATAAAAATGGCAGATGACTACATACCACTGTTTTGAAAATTGAGATACCTAGCTGTCACTTCCCATGAGGAGTTAGTGTTTTGTTGTCCATCATGGAAAATGACAGCTAATAGATACCTTGCCACAGCGAATCAGATATTTGTAATTTCCACTTTTTTCAACTCATTCTGAATCTCAATTAAAAATGCTCTTTGAAAAAGTACAGAATTTTTTCTATTTTTTTTTTTTTATCATTCTGTCATAATTTTTGGCAATTTCTACATGATGTACCACTCAATTGGCAGTTTTGGATTACGAAAGATAAAAAAAATCCAGATAACAGTCGAAAGATAGTACACCCGGGCCTTAAGTTGATTTTCACTATATTGGCCATTTTTTAATAAATATTTCGTAATTGAAGGGAGATAGAAAAATTTTGGTTACAAGCTTGATAGGGATGAGGCGAATGATAGCGCGGATTGGGGTATGTCATAGCGTGAGGGTGAAAATTAAGAACACGCGGATTACAAAACACTCGTAACTTTATTAATGGCGTTAGCTACGCGTTTAAAAAATTAAAGGGTACACTGAGAGAAAAACAGAGAAAACAGATACGAAATCACAGATAAGAAATGAATCCCTAAATAAAATAATAATGATATGATAGCAATTTTCTAACTTAAGGACAAAATATTTCTTGATAAATTTTCCTCTATATGAGATATTGTCATCCTGAAAACACACCGTCTCGTATGAATTATCCGCCTCTTGAGTGAAATATTTCGTTGTTGTTGAAAACAGAGCAATTATTAATGTTTGGAACTCTCAAATTCGAATAAAACCAATTCTTTTTTGGCAATTTTCAATTAGCGATTTTGTTGGCCCAAACAAGACTTGTTTGACAACGTGTTTGTTTTTCTTTCAGTGTACACTGTTTGTTAAATGTCTCGATATAAATTTGATAGTTGTCTTTACACTGCACTGGATAATTTATCGATAATAAACTTGATAATTAACTCAAATGATTGATAGTTGACTCGACATGAATTGATAAATGAACGAAATAGAGACGCTACATGGAGCGCTAGACTCAATATAACACGTTGCTGTACTCGGTTAAGCGGTTACATTGATACTGAATTCATATTTGGCGATTTGCTTCGTAATTTGACCATGAACCCGAAGGGTCCCGAAGTCATTTGAGATTTTCCGTTGAGCCCGGTAACTTTGATGATGAATTATTTGCTGCGTTTCAAACAACGCTTTTTTGTAGCCCTCAATTAGCTCTACAAAAAATATCACGAAAATTTCAGTAACTCCCTTATATTCGGAGATATTCTTCAAAAACAGTTTTACCGCTTCATTACTGATTTATTTTGTGGAAAATTCACTTTCGAATTCACTTTCATCCGAAATTATCTTTGAGGTTTCTTCTGAAATCATTCATGAGAATAATGATGATGAAATTATAGGAAAATAATTATTTGAGGTGGAAACAATGAAAGAATAAATGATAAAAGGACGAAAAAGTGGGATACAGCCCAAACACCCAATAGATAGAGGATTGACCAGAAGATAGACGGTCAGTTACCAATAGATATTCATATTTAATGGTTATTCAAACAAATTCATCCTTCTGCATGTTTAAAAATGAAGAATGAGCCTTTTCGCTAATAATAATCGAACCGACTTCGTGTTTATTTTGCACGAGTATCGAATCCCTTTTTTCATCACAATATGTAGCAAGCAGGATTTTTCGTACGCGAAGCGGGCGTAAAATTTCACTTTACGAACAAGTGATGAAATAATATATTTCGTCATCAGGCCGAAAAAAACTTTTCTGGCGAATATAAGTTTTTTTTCATTGCTCAAGCCCAAAAAGGGCTCTTTTACCGACGGTAGTTAAGCATGAGAAGTAGGTCTTTTTACCGTTGAGCAGTATAAAAGTGAGAAATGCACTACTTAGGAGTGAAAAAGTGAGAA